ACATATACTTACATGTACCAAGAATTCTTCTTAGCGCTCCACATTCAAATTCATTATAAACACGGTTATACAAACTGTGTGGTTTTTATATCAAGTCCCATGATGACCTTGAATAAGCACCTTATCTTCTCTGAGAAAATGCTTTCCATCCTGAAGATCCTGACTCCTTATTTTCTTTATGTTTCTTTTCTTTCCCTCTTTTTTTAAGTTCAATTTTTATCTGTACATGTTTATAGCACATAATCATTCCTTCTAAAATAAGAATAAATAAATGCAGTTTTGCAAATTGGAGAGACAGATGTGCACACACACTACATATCATATAACACATATACATATATATCAACTTAACCATTTCTAGATTTAGTAAATCAGAAATAGTTAAGTAATTATCAGGCCATTTATTTAAGGAGATTCCAGACTGTCTTCTTCTATCAGCTATTAAAGGTAAATGTAACAAGACTTCCATCTGGTGGTTAGAATCAAGAATGGAGCTTTGGAAGAAATATACTGCTTGCATTAATGATTAATCAAGTGCTCAGAAATCAAGCCATCCTCATGATTGAGGTACCTCAGGCACTACAACCAGCTCAAGTTGGCCAGCTTTCCTAAACTGCCTAAAAATTTGAGTTGACGGATGTTGATCTTATGAAGATCAGAAATCATGACTGTCACACTCAATATCTACAACTAAAAGGAGAAGTTTATTTTGACTCATATATCAGTACATAGTCAGCTGGCACTAAGGCAGGATGGCATGGCAGAAGGGCAAGGTAGAGGAGAGCTGCTCACTGCATAGCAGATGGAAGCAGATGAGTAGAGGAGCTGGGAAGGAAGATAAGCTTTTCCAGGCCACACTCACAGTAATGAGAAAAGTAGCTAAGACAGACTTGGTAATAGGAGTGGGGTTGTTGCTGTGACACTACCTGACTGTATAGTTCAGAAGCCTTGGGAAAGCTTTGGAGATGCTGACTGGAGAAGCAGTCTTAGAATGCTGTGAGCCAAGCTTGATGGGGATTCTGGTTGGAGTTCAGAACACCAGAGTGTTGATTGAAGAGAGCAGGTGGAAAAGACAGAGCTCAGGAAGTTTCAGTTGGGAACAAGGACTCCACTGGCAGTTTAACTTGAAACCATGTGTATCATGCTCTGACAGAAAACTTGTCTACTGATACTTTGTAAGAGACTGACATAAAGAGCAGCAGACTAATACTTTGTAAGAGACTGACATAAAGGGCAGAAGACTAAACAGGCCAGGGAAATTTCAAGGCGGCCTAACATTCAAGCTGTAGCATGGATACTGTTGGGGGCTTTTAGCCATCTCTACAGTGAGAATCAAGAGAAAATGACAGAGCTGAGTGATTTTTAAAGTTTTGAGTTTTTCCAGAAAAGAAACACCTACAAATTTGGAGCAGAGGAGAGCCTGGTTGCCACGAATATTAGCATTAAAAAGGAACCAACTAACTTATAACAGAATGATAGGAAGAGGGCCTTGAGGGCATGTGAGGAATCAGAAAGACCTCATCCTTCAAAAGCTGTAAGGTACAGAAGTAAAAGACTTTGCCTTGAGAAGACCACCCAGGGTACCATACTCCAGAATCACCTGCCTAGTGAATTTGTTTCCCAGGATTTGGTACACAGTTTTCAGCCATCTCTGTACTTGGGGAGGGCCACTGTGGTCATGATACAAGAGGGCTCAAGCTGGCAGCAAATCTTGGCATCATCCACATGGTGCTAGTTTTACAGGCATGCATAATGAATTGGTTGTGGGGTCAGGAAGGCTTCATCCCAATTTCAAAAGAAGGCCTAGGAGGCCAGGCAGTGTGCACCTGAGAAGGCAGTGAGTAAAGCTGTAAGGGTGAAATCAAAAGTGCAGTGGGGATCCCAAGAGGTTGGAGAAGCCAGGAACATGGAACATCTGAGGAAAACCACAAGGAGTGATAAAACCTAACCAACACAGAACCCATGTGGGCTACAACCAGCAGTGATGGGATATGGGTGGGTGGTCACCCAAGTCCTTTGGCATTCACATCTCACCACCACTTGCCCTGGGTGCTGTATATGGAGCTACAGGATTTACTATTTGCCCTGCTGGGTTTCAGTTTTCTTTGTTCCCATAGGTTTCAATCCTCTTTTTCTCCCTTTTAGAATGGAAATGTTTATCCTGTGTCATTGTATGTTGGCAGTATTTAACTTCTTTTTTATTTTACAGAGGCTTAAGGGGGCTAAGGGTTTAGCTTTGAGTCTCAAAGGAGACTTTGAACTTGCACTTTTCAGCAACGCTGAAACTGTTAGAGAAACTGCTGGCAACTCTTAGAGATGGACTAAATGCATTTTGAAAAAGAGATGTGTCTTTTGGGGGTCTGGGGAGGAATGTTATGGCTTATATCTAAATATCCTCCCCAGCCTCATGCACTTAGAGGTGGAGCTGTTAAAACATGATTGGATTATGAAGGCATTAAGCTGACTTGCTTAGGAGCTGGGACCTGGTCAGGAGAGGTAGGTTGCTTGGGAGTGTGACCAGGAAGGGTTTATCTCCTTTCGCCATGACTCTCTCTATTTCCTGTTCACCATGTCACAAGCAGCTCTTCTCCACCATGCCCCTCTACCATCCCATCCTGTCTTGGACCCAACCAATGAAAGACTTGATCTGCTGAAAACCAGATAAAGAAAGGACTATAGGAAGGAAAAAGCACAAGTTACATTATTGGCAACAGCACAGTACCTCCTGTGATATCCTCCATTGATTGATTGTAAGAAATCTGATGAACACTCAGCTTTTTATTTGTACAATTTTGACAGACTGACTTCTTAAGCTTACATGAAATGATGTATTTCTAATGTTTTTAAAAAGTTGCTCTAGAAAGAGTAAGAGGGGAGAGAAATGATAAGTTCCAGTAGTGCCACCTTCTGGTCCTATGTGATGTAGCAAGCCTGACCTAATGTCTGCTCACTGTGGCTGTTGTTGGTTCATGTAACACCCCAAGGTACAAGGAACAGTTACTGACCAGTAATAGTAATAATCTCTGATTGTAACCATGGATACATTCGTGGGCAACTTTTTACATGTGTCTTGCCCATATACTCCTCCATGAGACTAACTTCAGAAAGTAGGGACAATCTCTCATGGACACCCAAAGCTTGAATGCCCAATTCTTGAAAGTCATTGAAAATAAAAATGGCAAGAACAAAAGAGTTACTTGTATCTTTGTTTCTCCATGTATTAAACTCAATTAAAATTTTGTTTACAAGCAAGTCAATGTCAATATCACAGAAACATTTATACTAGATCTGCTTTTCAGTGATATGGCTAACAAGATTGGGAACATCTCCTTCAATTGGCATCTATGCTGACCAAGCTGAGCAGATGAAGGCAGAAAAATGAAGCAGAGTAGCTATCACTTTGTAAGGAATTAAAGAATATGAATGAGCCAGGTATGGTTAAACACTGCCAACATACAATGACACAGGATAAACATTTCCATTCCAAAAGGGAGAAAAAGAAGATTGAAACCTATGGGACCAAAGAAAACTGAAACCCAGCAGGGCAAATAGTAAATCCTGTAGCTCCATATACAGCACCCAGGGCAAGTGGTGGTGAGATGCGAATGCCAAAGGACTTGGGTGACCACCCACCCAACCTCCATCCCTGCTGGCTGTAGCCCTCACGGGTTCTGTGTTGGTTAGGTTTTATTCACTTTAGTCCTTTAACTATTTAAAGAATAATTAAATAATGAATAACTGCTAGATTCAGAATTAAACCAAAACAAAGATATTTTACTTTCCACACAATTTCCCCTTTATAATTTTTCTTCTATATTTACTTCGAGTTACCCACAAGAATCACAGATACTCGCTGGGTGTGGTGGTGCATGGCTGTAATCCCAGCACTGAGGAGGCTTAGACAGGAGGATCACCACAAATTTGAGGACAGCCTGGACTACACAATAAGACCCTGACGCAAAAAAAAAAAAAAAATCCCATAAACTAATTCTAAAGAATCCCACACTCCAAATTTGATGAATTCAAATTAGTTCAAAAATGTACAAACTTTTGTTGTGATCAGAGCCAAATAGTAAATATTTTAGCTTACTTGTGCCTGCCCTTAAGTAGCTCAAAATCAGCCAACATGGCAATGAATAGCTGTGGTCACTTTCCCTCACACGTTCTGTACAGGCAGTGAAATCTGAATTTCATACTGTTTTCAAGTGGCATGAAATATTAATTGTCTTTCTAATTTTTAAATTTGCCACTTAAGATACAAAAGCCATTTTTAGATTGTGGATTGTATAAAAAGAGGCAGGGCTCAGGATTTAGTTCTGGACCATACTTTGCCAACCCTTGCTGTAATACTTTGGGAAAGAGAGTGGCAATGTAGGAAATCTGGAATAAGCAGGGTGCTCCTCCAATGTTTTCACCAGTGGGCTTGTAAGTGTTTGTTTTGCTGTGTTGGCTCCATCTGCCCTTCTTTGGGCTTCCTCTACAAGCACTCTCTCTCCATCCCTGCAGCAAGGGCCTGGAGTTCAGTATAGCTAAGGGAAGCCTGACACCTTGTGGTTGCACTGCAAATGCCAGGCATCCCTTGGAAGTCACCAGCAAGGCAGAGTCACTGGGCAAGGATGACCCCAGGAGGGAGAGAGCAGCCAGCAGGCTAGTGAGGCAGTGAGCCAGCCCACAGCAGTTTGCTGTTGTTGTCATTGTTGTGGCTGTTGGTGAAATAAAGCAAGATAAAGTCCAGAGTTCACTAACTTCTCTCTCTAAAGGGAACTTCCAAAAGGTTCTCCTTGGGTGTCATTTCTATTAAAAAAAAAAAAAAAAGGCAATTTTCAGACCCTTCCCATCTGTATGATGACAGTCCAGTTTTTCCTGTCTGCTTAACTCTCCCTCTTGTATCATTCATACACATACACCCACGAGGAAAGAAACAGACACAGCAGGTACCACAACCCCACTCTTGTCAGTTGCTCACAAGGGAGAAAGAAGGTAAAAAGAGAGGAAGCAAGTGCTATTGAAAATCAGTTTCATTCTGGGAAAGGGCAAATACAGGGCTTCAAGACAGCAAAGACACATGGCTGAAATGTCACACCGTCCTGGAGAAAATGGGATTCCTCATTGTCTGTGCAGGTCAGTCTGTCCCAAGGTTATTATACTGTTGTGCTCCCATGAAGGTTTTGGCTCATTTGGGGGTAAACAAAGAGGAGGCTATTCTTTCCATTCCTCTGCTTGTAAGAGCCCCACCCCTGAAAAAAAAAAAAGTCCTAGACTCAAGCTATTCCTATACCGTAGGGAAGAAGATTCCATGGCTGGCTGGGCTGAGATATTCATCCTTTTGTCAAATTCACAGCCATCCTTTTGTGTTGACCAGAAAGCAAAGAGAGGAGACACTTGGGGGAATTTGGAAGGGTCTGTCCCTGAGTTCTGTAGTCACAGAAGTACTTCTATGTCTGCAAGAGCCTCCTCTTTGAAGATAAGAAGTCCTGAGTGTCTCCCATGTCATGCTGAAGCTCCACCACTACCCAAGGGGGGAAGGTGATAGAAAGAAGCAAGCATGGCCTCAACTGTCCATACCCCAGCATAAGCAAAGAGCTGGGTGGCTGGGGGTGGGTGAGCTGGCAAAAGATCTAAAGGCCTTGGTCCTGGGGATTCCAAGGGATCTTCCAGCCTCAGAGAAAGGCCATGGGGATGGAGCGGCTAGGTCTAGACTCCTTACCTAGAGGACAGGATTCGAAATCCAACCAAGGCCTAAGCCATTGAGGCTACAGTGGGATGCAATTGCTGAGCTTTGCTGTCTTGAGACCATGTCATCCTCCTTTGCCTGCATCCCCACCACCACTCTCTTCTCCAGGGGGAGTGGCAGTGTGGGGCACAACAAATCAGCCCCATACACACTTGGACCCGGAGCAGCGGTGCAGTGCAGTGAAGGGGGGCCTGCCACCCTTCCTGAAGTCCTCGGGGCTGTCCTGCCATACAGTAACTGGCAGTATTGTATGGCAGAAGACAAGCATCTTCAGAACTGGAAACCTGCTTTCCTGCTGGGGAACTGCTAGCTTTCTGGGTTGATACCGCCTGCTGCTGCCTCACTGCCAGTAGGTTCCTGCTGTGCCCCACCAGCCAGGGAGCACAGCAGGTCTTTGGTCCCTTAACAGAGTGGCGCTTATTAGGCTGTGCGGTGATTTTTTTCTGGACCCCATAGTTTTAGTATGACCTTTTCCATCTCTCACTTGTGTTTTACAGTGAAAAGCTCTGGGACCGTCTCTGGAGACCTCTTTCTCCTGACACTGTCAGACCTCCGGGGTGACTCCGCAGAGATCAGAATGCTGTCCCTCCAAGGGCCACTTCAGCATCATAGGAGTTAATGTGGGTCCTCGCCTAAAGGGGAAGGAGAAAAAAGTTGGAGCTGACACAATGGGAGAGGGGGTGGCCACGGGTCTCGCTGACTCCTGATTGGTTTTACATTTCCTCCAATTTCTCTCTCTCTCTCTCCCTCCCTCCCTCCCTTTCTACCTCCCTCCCTCCCTCTGTTTCTCTGTCTGTCTCTCTCTCCCTCTCCCTCTTTTCAGTTTCTCCTTTTGCCCCCAGGGGAGGGAAAATGGGAATAGTGAGAGATCAAAAATAAACCTCTTATGTCAAAGCCGGGAAGGAGGTATAAATACGAAGGGCTCAGCAGCCCACTCTGCGCTGCCCAGGCCGGGGAAGAGGCAGGAGGCGCTGTGCGGGGCCGGCACGCGGGGCTGGGGCGAGGGACGGGCGCACGCGGATCCGGGCGCCAGCTGTTAGCTCTCCGCTCGGGAGGAGCGCGCCGAGGGGCCGCCCGGGGACGCCGCCTGCGCCGCTGGCCGGGGCGGCCTCGCGTCCGATTGATCTTGTTCCTGGAGAGAGCGGCCGCGCGGCCAGCACCTGCCCCGCTCCTTCTCTTCCCGCGCCGCCCCACAGCCCCCATGCTCCCAGCCGCAGGCGCCGCCCGGTGGCCGCCGCTCCTGCAGCTGCTGCGGCTGCTGCTGCTAGCCCCGCTCTCCCGCAGCGCCCCGACCGTGCCGGGCACCGGGGGGGCCTCCTCGGAGTTGGTGGTGCCCACGCGGTTGCCGAGCAGAGCGGACGAGCTCGCGATTCACCTGTCCGCCTTCGGTCAGGGCTTCGAGCTGCGCCTGGCGCCCGACACCAGCTTCCTGGCGCCCGAGTTCAAGATCGAGCGCCTCGGGGGCTCCGGCGAGGAGGCCGGGGACGAACGCGGGCTGCGCGACTGCTTCTTCTCCGGCACGGTGAACCGGGAGCCCGAGTCGCTGGCGGCCGTCAGCCTGTGCCGCGGGCTGAGCGGCTCCTTCCTGGTGGCCGGGGAGGAGTTCACCATCCAGCCGCAGGGCGCGGGCGACTCCCTGGACCAGCCGCACCTCCTGCGGCTCTGGGGCCCCGCGGCCGGCGAGGGGCAGGAGAGAGGCAGCGAGGACCCAGAGGAGGGCGACCGAGAGGACAGCGGAGAGGCAGGCGGCACCCGCAAACTGCCACCACCCTCGGGGCCCACGAACGGGACCAAGGCTAAGCGGTCCGTGTCTGAGGCTCGCTTCGTGGAGACGCTGGTGGTGGCCGATGCGTCCATGGCTGCCCTCTACAGCGCCGACCTGCAGGTAGGGCTCCGGAGCCTTCCCGGGGCTCCCAGTTCTTCCCCTCCCAGTGGGTGGGGGGTGCTTCACTCTCCCAAGCCGACTCCAAACAAGATTCTTTCCTTCTTGAGAAACGGCAGTGACTTTTCTTAACATGTGCCGTCCTGGCTTCCTATCCTCCCATGCCCGGTCTCTCCTCTCTCACTTCTCCATGACTCCTGCAGCTCCTGGCAACCGAACTGAAAGTGGGTTTGAACACACCCTCTCCCGGGCACCTGCCTCTCCCAACAGGATGGAAACTGCACATTTAGGGAGAGTGCCCCTACCCCACCCCATTTCCTAGGGGTTCTGCTGGCGGGATCTCAGAGGCTCCCAAGGAAAGGCAGCTGGGTTGGAAAGAGGTGGCTGGTTCCCTTTGGGCACAGAACTGGGGTTGTCATAAGTAAAAGACATTGTCTGGAGAGAGCTGAACCTGGAAAGGGGCTGCCCAGCTTCTGTGCTCCCAGCTGGTTCTGATCAAGGGGCATGGACTACGTTGCCAACCTGGCGCTCAGCCTTGGCAGAACTTGGCAGTGCCAGCATCCAGCACAATGAGGGAGGGGAACAGAATTTCTGCCTGGGGGCTCAGCCCTGGCAACAGAAGTTTCTGTGAAAAAGGGAGGGAGCAGGGAGTAGAACAAACTTGCAGTTAAGTTCTCTGGAGGAGCCAAAGCCAGCCTGGGTCCACCTAGCTGCCCTCAGCTCAGACTCGGCTCCCAAACGAGCTGGTACAGGAAAAACTGGGTCTAGGGCATGGTTGTTGCAGCCAGGCCATTGCTAACCATATGCAAAGAGGGTGCTGATTCAACAAGAGTTGCCTTTGTCACCCTAAGCCCCAGTACCTCCCTCCAAAGACCAGGCAAATGTCTTTCCAGGAGAAGAGGGACACAGGAGAAGGCTGTTGCTGTATTTTCTTCCCCTAGGGGGCGTAGAACTAGAGATACCCCAACTAGAGAACTGACCTGCCCAGAGTTCACAGTTCCCTGCAGCGGATCCTGGCACACCACAGCAGCCCAGTTAACACTTTTGCAGTGATGGCATGCTTGGCTAGCAACTCATTCTAGACTCTGCCTGCACCAAACCCACTGGCATCACCTGTGCAGAAGAATCGAGACGAGGCAGCAGTTAGCCTTCTGTTTCTAGAAGAATCTTACCCCCCACGCCACCCCCTGCTCTCACTGGGTAGTGCAGAGGGAGAAAGATCTGGCGAGAAACCGATGGATAGGGCTGGCAGCACTGCTGGCTGCTGGCGAGAAGTCTGAGCGGCTGCTCTTCTGGCTCCTACAGGGGCCAGTTAAACCCCAGGGACACTCCCCTGAACACTTTTGTGGCATTGACTTCTCCCAGAGCACTGCATGTCACTGAGCCTTCACAGCTGTCTGCCCTGTGAGCCTTGGGTCGACGCTGGTTTATTTGGTCTTCTGTCCACCTTGAGAGCAGGGAGAGACATCAGCCACCTCTTCTGATTCTTGCCCCCAAGCAAGAGGGTGGCGGGGAGGAGTGAGGCAAGGGCTTCACCCATCTCACCAGGACCACCACGCCTGGCTCCAGGGGGCTCCACCTGAAAGGAGCTCAGATACATTCATCACAGACACAGCTGAGGTGCTGTCCCACCAGGCAGACCAGTTTTGGAAATTTGCCTGAGAACAAAGGAAAGTCATCATGGCAAAGTAGCAGAAACAAAAGCCAGTTTGTGAGTCTCCTGAGCCAAAATGCCCCCCACCCTGTAATCCTACTTATAGTTTCACTCTCTCCGCTCATCAACTAGACCCTGGAGATACTGAGTATTTCCCTCAAGGACATACTGTCATCTGCAGATATCACAGCTGTCCAGAGGCAGCCTTTGATCGCAGGAGGCTCAGCTGGGTTCCACACCAGGTTTTGCTCACTTTCACTTGAAATCTAGGCTGCTGCTCCAGAGAAGTGGGCTTGCTGTGTCAGAGCCATCTGCCCTCCTCACGGGACCTCCATCTGCAGGATGTGGTTCATGCTTACCCCATCCTCTCTCCCTGTACCTACTCAGGCCTCTCAACCATTGACAGACCCACACAGGGACCTCCCCACCCAGCCAGCCACCTTGGATCAGGAGAGGGCATCAGAACAGGTGTGAGGCACCTGTGAAGGCTGATTCTTCCCCCTGGGAAGTCTACTTCTAGGTCTTACACAAAAAGAAATCTTCACTCAGCTGGACCAGGCTGCCCCTCCACCTTGGTCTCATATCTCAGTCCACCCATACTGGTGCTCCCACCTGCTGGGATGGGATGGGATGGGGCTGAGGCACACTTGTCTCTATGACTGCCTATTGGCCCCTCTGACCAACCACTGAGATTCTCAGCTTAACCCCTAGGGCTTCTTAAAACAGGTCCATGAGCTCAGTAGAGAGAAGAGTGAAAATTAAGTATAGCTCCCCAAAACCTAGCCTGCTTCAACCCACTTCCTCCACATGGAGCCACCTCCTTATATTCAATATAAACTTCACCTACACAGCTGCAAGACACTCTGGGATGTCTTAGAGTAATTGGGGCTGGAGGTGTGATGATGGTCAAAAGAGCATCTACTCCCTCTAAGAAGTAGCAAGACACCTGGACCGGGTAATTGTTTCTATTCTAAGTGCCCACGCAGTTGCTTTAGGATGAGCCCGTCTTCCAGAAAGCTTGGCCACTCTCTGAGTATGTTCGCTTTATGGAATGCTTTTACAAACATGACCTCAGTGGCAGTACCTGTGAAGAGAAGAAGAGGAAAGTCCACCTCATGTGACTTGCCCAAAGTCACACTACTAAGTGACAGGCTAGATCTGCAACCCAGGTCTCCTGAACCTGACTCCAGCTGTCTATGCCATTATACCATGCTGCCTCTTTAGGAAGGTCTGTGACTCTCTTTACCCTCTGACACTTGCTGATGTTGTTGAATGGGTCCTTAAATCCAGCAGTCCAAGACATCCAGCCAAAGGGTTAGCCTTGTTCCTGAGAAGCTGACTTCACCTTCAAAGTAACAAGAAAAAAATAGCTATGCTCGAGATTGATTTTAGCTGCCACTGCTAAGTGACAATGAAATCTTCCAGAACTCTATACAATTGAGTTCACTTAATCCCTTGACAAAAGGGGGCCTCCTGCCTCCCACCTTCTTACCTGACTTCAGAGTTAAGGGGCTCAGACACAGGGAGCTTTCTGAAAGAAAGGGGGACCACCTTGGAAGAGTCCATGGACTGTCAACATCTGGCTACTGCTGCTTGTCCCCTGGAGAAACCTGGAGCAGGACAGAGTGAGTGGCGAGTTCAGCAATGCCCTAAGCTCAGTCTGGGAAGTCTCAGCAATAATTGGAGCTTCTGAATTTTCTTCTTAGCAGAGATGAGTTAAGTGTGGTGCTCATCTTCCCTAGGCAGCCCAGAGCACCCCATGTTGTCAGGCTTTAGGGGGTGATTTCAGAGAAAGGTTGTCTCACCCATCTTACCTGCCCCTTACCTCTGTCCTCTAGGGCAAATGTCTCCCACAAGGCCTCATCCTGAAGTGATCCAATAGCCTCAATTGGCCAGCATGGATACCGTTCATGCCTGTTGTGATGTGCTCAATAGTACTGTCTGTAAGTGTGCAGAGTGTCCCAGTTTGGATGATAATACAAACAGACACAGGTCCTGCCTGCTCCAAAGCCATCCCACTCTTCAAGGGGGAAAGACAAGTGTTACATGTGCATGAATTATGTTCTTCCCACTGGCAAAAGAATGAGTCTTGGGCCAGGGATTTAGCTCAGTGGTTCGCCGCCTGCCTCAAAGGCACAAGGTCCCGAGTTCAATCCCTGGTACCAAAAAAAAAAAAAGAATGAGTCTTTTCCACCCTTTGGGTCTGCTGCAGTCAGAATGACTAAAGAAAGAGAGTTTCCCAGAAGAAATGTCTTAGTAGCAAAAGGTGGGTGTGCACAAACAATGACAGAGGCAGCCTCACTTCCTTTCATTCTTTGGATTTGTTTTGGCTACACCAGCTTTCCTTGTAGCAGCAAAGATGGGTGGTAGTGTGGTGGGCAGGACACTACACTTGGTGGAAAACAGAAATAACTGAGTGTCCTTGAGCAAGTTATCTATTTCTCTGTACCTTTTTCCTCACCAAGAAAATAGAAGCAGTTATCCCCAAGTCTGACATTGTCTTAAGGATGCAACCATACATGGAAAGCACTGATCTGGGGCCCAGTACATAGTAGGTGCTCAACAAATCATAGCCATTGCTAGCCTTGCTGGAAAGCATTCATCAGAGCAGGGATGATGGGATAGCCACATGCCCTTGGAGTACAAGCCACCATGTTTTAGCTTTGCTGCCCCACAAGGCAGAGAGCCCTTCTTCAGCTTTCCCCAGCTCCTAGTATTTAAGGCTGACTCCTTTCAGTTCTGTATAAGAGTGTGCTGTTTGGCAAGATGAAGGATATTCATGCAAATCTATTTCTTCCTCTTGCTCCTTTCCTCTTCCTTTGCAACTCCACTGTCTCTCCCCAGCACTACCTCAGGCCCTACAGAAATACCAGGAAGGTAGAGCAATGGTACCAGGTGAGTTTTCACATTGCCACTCTTCTCCCAGCTTCCCCGGGCAGGCCATAGAGGGAAACCTTAGGGCCTGTAGTGTGACAAGCAAATGAGCAAGGATCAGAAAGTCAAACTCCAGCCAGAAGAAGGAGAGGAGCTTCCAGAAATGCATTCGGCATCTCAGCCTGGTGAAGTGCCTCACCACCTGAGGTGGTCCCTCAGACTCCCACAAAGCTTGACTTTGGCTGCCACCAGAGCTCTGGGTGAGAAATCTCCTTGTTCGTATCTCAAAGAGGGCCATGCCCCAGCCAGCAGCCAGGGCCTTCCAGGGACACCAGCAGAGGAGGAGATGCCTTCCAAAACATCTTCTTTCCTTAACAAGAGTTAAGGGCATGAGATCCCCATTCATTCAAGAGCAGTGATCTTTGGCCATTCTTGGCCAGGCAGATCATGGGCTTTTTCCAACCTGATATGGTTTTTGGAGGTTGCCTCTCATGTTGGGGCCCCCAGTTCATGTGGGGCAGGATCTCATTCACATTCTTGAGCACACAGCCTACACTTACGTGGTGAGCAGGAAGGTATAAATAGATGCCAGGTGGTGGAGCAAACCATCTGACCTTTTCCTTGACTGGCTCCCAGGCCTACTCCCCACACAACTGTAAGCCATGGATGAGTGGAGAGTGAGACACTCACAGATTCAGCTAACATACCTGGCCCAGGCATAGTGGTCCTTCCTCCTGGAGAACTCTGGGATGCCCTGCAAAACAAGTCTCCTGCCCTTCTTTCTCGCATGAGCCAATTTGGAGTGGGAGATGGTGGGGAAGGCAGCACTTCTTATGAGAGAAGAGGAGAGGAGAGGAGAAGAGATCAGCAGGACCAGGACTGGGGACTCTAAAAAGCAATGTTGAACCACAGAATCCTTGAAGCCCTCTCACAATGCAAGTTATCTTCTGTGATAATCAGTGACTAGGAGGACTTTCAGATGTCTTCAAGCCCAACTCATAGTCTTGAAAGAAAATGGCTCAGCCCAACAGCTGCACAGTATCTGGAGGTGATCATACAAGTTCCCTAAACCGCAGAGGAGGCTTGCTGGAAACCTTAGTGTGGGGAAACTTCTGTTATCTTACCCTGACCTTCATGCAGTGATTTACATCATTCCCTTTCAGTCTCCACTGGGGGTGTGACCATTGCATCATCTCTTATGGAGGAAGCCCAGTCTGATCTGGTCAGCTTGGGCAAATGGACCATTCTAAACCACAAGTCTTCAGTTCCTTGTGCTGAGCTGCACTGAACCACCATTTAGCAGTGGACATCTTTTGACTTTAAAATATCTTTGAAAGACCTCATCTTTCCTGGTTTTCAGATTGTAGATTTGGGACTTGACAGGAAGAAATCTTGTAAGGGCAGTTACATGTTGCCTCAGAAGACATTTCAGGAGATGGTCCATGTCCACCACACCCTGTTCCTGCCTGGAGCATCCAGGAGACTTTCTGGTCCACAGAAGCAAAGAAGACCTGGCCAGGAAATTAGCTTGGACAAGCTACCATTCCTCAGCCCTCACTCTCAGTTGCATAATGATGTGATTGCTTTCTTTCCCTTAGGAATCCAACTCCAGCAGCAAATGCCAAGTTTCAGCTCTGCTGATAAGATGTTTACATCAGCCTAAACATAACTGGAGTGCTTGACATGTTAAGTAACCTTTGCTTAGTAACCTGCCAATCCCTGTTTGTAGGACTAACAAAATACCTGGCTTGTTGCCTTTGAGGTGAACAGACAGGTCCCATTCACAAAAAATGGGATTTGTCTGGAACTTCCCACACGTGGCCTTTCCAGATGGAATGTCCCTCCCCCTCCTTTCCTCCTTCCACTCCCACCTTCCAGGCCATGGGAGAACAGAGGCTGACAGGAAGTGGTCACCCAGGGAGCAGAGAGGCAGAGCAAGTAGCAGCAACTCAGTCGGCCACACTGTGGGCACCAGGCATGCCCACCTCTGTCCTGTTGTCCCTGTCACTCTAAAATAGTCCAAGAGGGACACTTCAAGAGGTTCCCAAGCAGGAGAGTGAGCTTGCGTCTGGCCTCCTCTCAAAGCCTTGGCAGCCAGCAGGGGAGTGGTTGGCAGCCCAAGGATAGGACAGAGGCCAAGCACTGATGTAGACTCCTTCCACTGGCCTGGGGAAACTGAAAGCAGGTGGGATCTCACCAACACATGGGTCTCATTAGGCACTCTGGATTTTCTCAAGCCCCAGGCAGAAAGGAAGAAACCCTTTGGGGCAGAACCCAGCAAACCAAGCCTTGGGAAATGTAATGAGAAAAGTGTGGATGTCAGAAACAGACACACCTGGGCTGATATCCTGGCTTTGAAAGCAGTGCAACCTTCAACAAGTTATTGAACTCTTATAACCCTCCACTGCCTGGTTCGTGAAACAGGGAATTACAGTGCCTACTTGGTGGTGTTATCGTGAGAACTGAATGAGTTGATGGGTGTTGAGCATGGCCAGTGCTGGCAATGAGTAGCTACTGCTGGGAGTGATTATTAGAGAAAAGTTTTTAGGGGTAACAATTTCCATCCTGAAGACTAGAAGTTTCCCCAACAGGTATCAGGAAAATACCTAGCTGGGTTCTGAGAGGAAAACTCTAAACTTAACCACTCTGGTCATTGCTTCTGGGCTGAGGCTGGGACAGGCAGGGGTGGTTGGCAGAGAGGCAGCAGAATAAGCCGTGTAGCCCAAAAGAATGTTCTACCTGTGGCTCCAGTACAGAAGCTATCAGCCCTGTACAGCTATTGGTGCACTTGAAATGTGGCCACTGTGACTCATTTTATTAAATTTTAATTAACTGGGATTTAGGTAGCTACATGTGGCTGGTCTGGATGTTAAACGCACAAGCCTTGGAGCCAGGCAGTTCTGGGTTCAAATGCTGACTGTACACCCATCAGCTTTGTGATCTTGGACTAATTACTGACTTGCATTTCTTCTGTGGAAAGTGAAGGGAAATAACGTTGAGGCCTCAAGCATTTTATGAGTCCTGAAAGGTGCTATAAATCCAATGGTGAACCCAGACCTGGCACAAGCAAAGTAAATGCCCTGCAACAAGAGACCATGGCAGCGAGCAGTGCAGGGCTGTAAGGCCGGACACTTCCTGTCCTCACTCTCCCCGCTTCCCAACAGAACCACATCCTGACCCTGATGTCCGTAGCAGCCCGCATCTACAAGCACCCCAGCATCCAGAATGCCATCAACCTCGTCGTGGTGAAAGTGCTCATAGTGGAAGATGAAAAGTGGGGCCCAGAGGTATCGGACAATGGCGGGCTCACACTGCGCAACTTCTGCAGCTGGCAGCGGCCCTTCAACAAGCCCAGTGACCGCCACCCAGAGCACTATGACACAGCCATCCTGCTCACAAGACAGGTATGTGGGCCAGCTCTGGAAGCCAGGAAGGAGGGGGACAAAAGACAGATGGGGGTGGGGGTCAACCAGACGTGGGAACTGTCTCCCTGCTGGCCTCAGTGGATGCCAGAAGCCTCCTGCTTAGAATGACGAGGAGGAGGTCATGAGGACAAGTGGGAGGTATTTGCAAGGGAAGGAGAAGAATCTTGTGAGGGCAGTTTTCCAAAAGTTTGTGACCAGCTGTCTGCTGAGGTCATAACAAGAAGAAGCAGACTCAGACTTCCCAGGGACAGATCTAGGCCTGGAAGTGGGACAAGGATTCTGTCTAGAGTGGTTGCTAAACTTATAGGCAGGTAACTGAGGACTCTTCAGGAACCTACTATGGCAAGAGGACTGCCCTCCTACCTGGTGTGATTTAAAGGGGCAGCTTCCTGAAGCCAAGGGCATGGGGTAGTGTGTGCCAACCCTGTCCACCCTGCTGTCCTCACTACAGTCCCACAGGTGAGTATGGCATTATCCTCATTTTACAGCTGAGGAAACTGAGGCACAGAGAGAACACACATCGGCAGCACCTATAGTCAAGCCCAAGCAGGCTTGCTATAGGATCCATCTCAGAACCACTGTGCTATTCCAGATCCCAAAACAAGCCTTTAAAGTCCCAGCCAGCCCTCAGACACTGCCAGCTCAGAACAAGGAACAGGCTCCCTTCCGTGAGCCTATGGGAAGACAGGGGGACATTTTTCTGTTTCTACCACTCAGAAATCCCTCTTAACAGCTGTATGTGTGTGCGCCCAAATGCATGCACTCATGCATATTGTTTAACAGTGATAAATTTCACAAGTCACTCTTCAAGTGAGAAAGACAAGAGATAATGGTGACTATAACCACAATAAGGCAGGACCATTGGCTGAAATATCCAGATAGAGAGCCCTACTCCTGCTTCCCACTCTTTAAAAAACCTCAGTAAATGCAAGCGACACTCAGGCTAGTGAGCAGATGTCTCACGGGATACTCAGTGGGGCAATGCTATGTGCCCCTGGCATCTACCTCTAGTCCGAAGGCTGCTGCTGCTCACACACACTCGCTGATGACCTCTCTCTGCCACACAGGACTTCTGTGGGAATGACGGGCACTGCAACACCTTAGGCATGGCGGACATTGGCACAATCTGTGACCCCAGCATGAGCTGCTCCGTGATCAAAGATGAGGGCTTGCAGGCAGCCTACACCGTGGCCCATGAGCTAGGTAAGACTGGCTGTGTCAAGGCCTGCTTTATCATACCCGAGAGAACTAACACTTCCAAGTCCAAAGTTGCTCAGACCCTAAGAAGGAGGCAACTCTCACACTTAGCCATTATCTCCTCCTAATTTTGACACAGTGATTACACACAAATAGATACAGTTCTTGACATTGTTGCCTCCATTCAGTAGTGTCCTGGGCCACCATCAGAAGTGGCCTGGAGGTGCCCAAACATGAAGCAGATGCTAAAGGAGGGCTAGGATACTGTATGCAAGCTGAGCAGTAAGGTTTTGGGGATGCCACATTAGATAGTAAGTAGTAGAGAAGAGTGTGAATTTTGGACAGGCAGAGGCAGAAAATAAAGGGATCCCAGTGCTCCTTGGTCATCTGAAAAAGCTTCCTAGAAGAACAAAGCCCAGGGTGGGGCCTGAAACAAAAATCTGTACCATGAGGACCTGGTACATGGTAGCACTACCAAGGTCATTGCCACTTCTGGCCACATGGGGAGTGGGACTGGGTAGCCAGAGGGTGGAGGAGCGGACCAGTCTCTTTGACACCCCCCCTCCCCCAGGGCACGTTCTCAGCATGCCCCATGATGACTCCAAGCCCTGCGTGCGGCTCTTTGGGCCCATGGAAAAGCACCACATGATGGCGCCACTCTTTATCCACTTGAACAAGACGCTGCCCTGGTCTCCCTGCAGTGCCATGTACCTCACCGAGCTCCTGGACGATGGCCATGGTAGGCCCCACTTGGCTTCCTCTCTGATCCCCCATCCAGCAGGCCCCTTGACAGCTGTTGGCACCTGTGCTGATCTGGGAACTCCCTGCAGCTGTGCTTTCTCATGAGGCTCCTAGGGCGGGAGAGACTTCAGAAACGTGTCTTTCTCAGAATGCATCCTAAGCATCTCCCCAGAGTGCTCTTCCTTGCCCCATCCCCCTGTAGCCTGCACTCTGGGTTAATTTAGATTTCATCATCAAAGCAGGTGGAACTAGCCTGAGAAGCTTGTCAAACTCACCTGAGAAGCTTGAGCAGAGCTTAAAGGAATGGAAGAATGTTTGTAGTAAAGAGGACAGAAGAGGATGTTCTAAACTGGGTGATTGATCTTATGATATAGCTCAGAAATGACAAAGAAAACAACAACAACAGCAGTAGCAGCAGTAGCAGCAGCAAAGAAACAGTAATCAGTCATGTGAGAGCAAGCACTGAGGGCTTGGGGTGCCTGGTTAGGACAGAAAACTGTTGGTTAAAGCAGCAAAACAACATATTCTAGATTCTTCTCGTTAAAGGAGACAGGGACACAGGTAGTGCAAAAACAGTAGATTGTCCAAACATTAGTACTGCTATATACTATTTGGGCTTTCCTTGCCAGCCATGGTTTCTAGGAGCACATTTACATCCCCCATTATATTGTGGTGTGGATTAACATACAAATAGTTGGCATTCAGTAGGCATACACCATCAGGGGGAATCCATCCTTAGATGTTCTGGACAGCAAAAGAAAGTCAGTCCCAAAAACCTCTTTGCTTCTGTTCATCCAAACAAGCTAGGCTCTGTGTAGATGATCGAGTGTTGGCATGTTTAGATTGAGTCAACGAAACTATGATGCCTAGACCTCTTTTTAAATTTGAGCCTAATGTATGGGGGCACAGAGAGCTGAGAGGGAGGCCCTAACCCTTGTTCTTACTCCTCTGCTTCCTCTATTCTCAGGGGACTGTCTCCTAGATGCCCCTACCTCAGCCCTGCCCTTCCCCACAGACCTCCCAGGCTGCAGGGCCCTCTATGACCTGGACCAACAGTGCAAGCAGATCTTTGGACCAGGTTACCGCCACTGCCCCAACACCTCTGAGCAGGACACCTGTGCCCAGCTCTGGTGCCAAATAGACGGTGATGAGGGCGTCTGCCACACGAGGAATGGTAGCCTGCACTGGGCTGACGGCACCCGCTGTGGACCTGGGAGCTTGTGCTTGGATGGTAGCTGTCTGCCAAAAGAGGAAGTGGAGAGATCCAAGGTGAGGAAGGGGGAGACAGGGAGGCGAGGAGAGGGAAGAAGGAGCACAGAGGAGAGCAAGGGCTGTTTTCAGCAGAGGAACCACACTTGACAGTCAGGAACTAAGAGATCAAATCTCAACAAACCAAAGCATATTTATCCACATGGGTGAGGAGCCCTCACAAGCTGTACTCATAGTCAGGAGTCTCAACTGTCCTCCGTTGGTTCTGCTTTGGAGCTGAATTGAGGCCTTGTGCCAGTTGGTGGGAGGAATGAAGACCAGAAGGTAGACACTCACTAAACAGGAGACTTTATGAATTCTTATTATAACTGGACATGACAAGATGTGGGGTAGGAACATTTCATCAAGGGTTGAGTGAAAAGCATTCATACCCTCCCCACGTTTGAGGTGAATTCCTAATTAAAAAGTAATTGTGTAATTCCTAATTGGAAAGTAATTGTATTAAAGTAATTGTGGGAATCCCAAACTCCAAGGGGCGGGGGGGAGAATCAGAGTCGTCTCTGACCAGGCAGAGAAAACTTGGCCCTGTACAGAGGAAATTTGCAGGGAAAACCAAGGCAATGCCAGAGAGAATTTTTAAATGATTCGCTCCTTTGCCCTGCTCTTAATTCATCCAAACTGTGAGAGTGATCGCGTTTCTCTTACTACGAGTCACGGAGCCATCACCATGAAATAGCAACTGCTGAGTCTCACAGCCTGGTTTCCCGCCTAGCACTGAATAGCAGGGTGGCCCAAGCATGCTCCAAGGGGCTTGTCTTTGCTGCTGAACCTCGAGAGTCCCCCTGGGCTGACTAGGCCACACACACTCATCCTAATAGGTTCATGGGTGAGCGCTGAGCCCCAGCCTGGGCTCCTTTTCATTCTCTTCCCTGGTACTAAGGGGAGAGGAAGGGTCTGTCCACCCACTCCAGTGAGAACCAAGCTAGACGTGGCCAAACACTGACATGAAACGCTCATAGGATTATGTTCATCATCTATTTTTAAGGAGAAAAGGCAGAGCCTAAAATTACAGACAGAGAGAAAGAGAGAGAGAGAATCATTTCTTTGTAAAATGAAGCACAAAAGGGAGGTCAGAGGAAGGGGGAAAAATAAGAACCAAGAGAGATTATGTAAAGGTGCAAATTTCCAATGATGAATGTCATTATATTGTATACCTAAAATGTACCAATAAAATTAATTTTAAAAATGAAAGCACATATCTTTATGATCATACATTCATAACAAAAGGATTGGTAGTGATTTTTCCAAAGTATTGCTTTTCTTTTTACAGTCTTTGTATTTTTCATTTTTTATATAACCATTACTTTTATAATTTTTTAAAATTAATTATTTTAGCCCATATTAGTAATACAGAATAGTGATATTCATTTGGGGAAATTAGTACATGTACATAACATACCTGGATCATTTTCAATCCTTTAAACTCGCCCCCCATTTTTATTTCAAACCTTCTTTAGACCTATCAAGGGCATAGCTTTATTCTCATAAGCCACTTATAAACTTGGAAATTATTCTGTTTCTTTCCTGGGCATTATCCTAGCACTGGAACCAGCAGCCAGTAGCACATGGCACATTAGTGACTGTGCCTTTAGAAGGTCTCTAACCTCAGCACAGTGACATTCAAGACTGGGTAAGGCTTTACTGTAGGATCTGTGCTCTGCTGGATATTTAGTAGCATTTGTGGTCTCATCCCACCCCATCCCCTGCTGGAACAACCTCGGCATCTTTAGATGTTGTCCCTGCAGGACAGAATCCACCTCAGTGGAGAACCACTACATTAGAGCCAACCTTGTTCCCATGAGACTCTTGTTCTTCCTGAGGACCTAAGGGCAAGGTACTGCTTTAGACATGGGGCAAGCAGCAGGGAAGGCACCCACACAGTCTCTGCTCACAAAGCTGCAGACTACACAGACACTAAATACTAGTTGGAGTGGTTTGCAGCACGCCATGCAGCCAGATGAGAATACCCAGATAAGGAAGTCAGGCCTCTGGGCTGCACACACAACTGATGTCCCCTCTCTTGTGCTCCTGACTCCATGGTGTTGTGTGTTGCAGGCAGTGGTGGATGGAGGCTGGACCCAGTGGGGAACCTGGGGAGAATGTTCCCGGACCTGTGGAGGTGGAATACAGTTTTCATACCGTGATTGCAAAGATCCCCAGCCTCAGAATGGAGGAAAGTACTGCCTGGGTCAGAGAGCCAAGTACCAGTCATGCAACACGGAGGAGTGCCCCCCTGATGGTAATCGCCACTTAAGGCCACACCTGCCATAGCAGCTGCTGTTTTTGTTGCAACAGAGCCCCAGAGGAGGAGAAGGGTGGGTCTCCCAGGATGCAGAGTTGTTTGTGACCCAGACAGTAATGGGCTTTGCAAAGTACCAAGCTTTGGTGAACTCACAGGGACCCCCAACAGCTCCACTGTGTTAGGAGAGGCTGGCAAAGTCAGGAGAGCCATTGCCCTGGTCTTCTGAGGCATGGATATAGAGTGTGTCACTCCCAACCAAACCTGTGGGGGAGGCCTTTGCAGATGGAGTAGTGTCTAGGATAATAATCTGAACCCTCATCTGTGTGCAGAATGGAAGAGTTTTCCAAAGCAAGTAGCAGAGCCAAACCTCCAAGGTCTCTCCAGCCAACACTCAGCCCAGAGAGGAGGGAGGATTTCTGAACCTGATTCCTGTGCACATTCCTTCTGAGAAGAGTTGCCTGTCTTCCCTTGGGGCCATGGCAACCACCTTATAGAACCTTCCTAGAAAGCAACACTGCTTCAACCTTCCCCTGGCATACTCCTATCCTATAGCATGCGCTAGAAAGCACACATATTAACTTAGAGGCAGTATAGGGCAGCAGCAAACTTATAAAAAGGAATCGTTAGAACTTTTTTCCCCACTGTCCCATCCAACTCCCCTTTGGGCAACTTCAAGAAGTACTGGCAGGCATGAAAAGACAAGTGAAGCTTTAGGAGAGATTCATGCGAGTGCCAAGACACCCTGGCATTGGGTTGATGTCTAATAGGGAAATCTGTAAGCACTGCAGTTTTGTAAGACAGGAAGGATCAGCAGTGGCATGAGGCTCTAGAAACGGCTCTGGAATTAGGAGTGTTGGCCTGGCATACGGACTAAGATGCTTCAGGGACAGGAAGGAGAGAGTTATAAGGAGATGGTTACCTTGGTAAGCATGGATGATAAGTGACATGATCTTAGGTGCAACATCAGCCATTTCAATCAAGTATTTTTAGTACTTCTTGTGTCTAGAACCACAATTGATGTTACAAATTATATTTTTAAATGCACAAAGCTCTGTCCCCAGGGAGCTTGCAGCCTGATTCGAGACCAAAACCCCTTCACACAGCAAGAGAGGCTTGCTCGTAGATTAATCTATGAGGCACAGACGCTAGGCTTGTGAAGAGCTCAGAGAAAGGGAAGCTTGGCCAAAACAGAAGCTTCATGAAGTGTTTGGATCAAGGAGAACTGAGATGGTGTCAAGGTGTGTGGGGGACATGCCAAGATGAGAAAAAAGTGTGAGAAGCACCATCTTTTACTAAGGTGCAACCAAGTAGACTTTACCAGTGCATCAAGGCCAGGCTACAAAGGTCCTCAAAGGCTGAAACAGATCTGGAGATTGTCTGTGATGGCGGTCCCATCAGGTCACTAGGAAGCTTCTCCAAACACAGCCCAGATCCCCTCAGCCATACTGACTCAGAATCTCAAGGGTGGAGCACTGCATCTGTATTTGGAAGTCTCCACAGGCTGTCCACATGCACAGCTGGGTTGGAGAGCCATGATGAGAAGAACAGGTTTAAGTCCAGGATTGCATAAGGAAACACCACATTTCCAATACTGTGGCCTGGAAGCAGGCTGCAGCAGGAGGGGAGAGAGGGCAGATACATGCAGGAGGCTGGGCACTGTGCCCCATGGGAAGCCATGAGGCCTGGGCTTGGGATGGCAAGCGTGGCATGCAGGCATTTAAACCACAGATTGTCTTGAATATAGCGGAGGACTTCATGACATATTGGAAATGGTGAACAGAGAGGCTCAAATATTCAGGAAACACTGGGATGCCAGACTCAGACTGGAATATGGTAGTGTCACCAAATGAAACCAGTTAATGGAAGGACCAGATGGTGCTTGTCATTGCTGAGTTGGAGGTAATGAGTGTACACGCCAATACAGCTACCACACACACAGCCAGAATTACAGAAAGTGGGGTATATGGGCAAGATCAGAGCTAGAAAATGCAAGCTGAAAAGTCTTTAGCCACATGTCCCCTGTCACCAAGGAAATCAAGATAGAAAAAGATCAGCAGAGTCATGAAAATATAGTTTCCAGCATCATTCTGTGCCTGCCACACTAACTGAATGGTTTCCTATTCCCACCTAAGTTTATTTATTCATCTGTGAAGCAGAATGAATGTCTTTCCCAAATGGAAAGGATATTTATCACAGAAAGCCCTGCACGAGGCTGGCTGGCTCCTTTCTTGGCCCCTTTGAGTAAAAGTCACACATGCATCCAGGTCAGGGTGTGTCCAGAAACACTGAGTTCAGATGACATTGGGCCCATGTCCTTAGATGAAGTCCAAAGCCTAGAAGAAAAGGAGGCCTTGAGTCTGATCATTTCTTCACCTGGATCCTCTCAGCTTCAGCAAGTGTGTTACCTCCATGCCATTTCTTACTCTTTCTAGGGAAAAGCTTCAGAGAGCAGCAGTGTGAGAAATATAATGCCTACAATTACACTGGCCTAGATGGGAATTTACTTCAGTGGGTCCCCAAATACTCAGGAGTGTCCCCCCGGGACCGCTGCAAGTTGTTCTGCCGAGCCCGGGGAAGGAGGGAGTTCAAAGTGTTTGAAGCCAAGGTGAGCATCCTTCTGAGACTTGGATCAGAGATGGGGAGGAAGGCAGCCTGTTGCCACCCCACCTGCAGCTGCTTCTGTGCTCCACACATTCTCTTACCTTTCCTGTCCCAGGTAATCGATGGTACCTTGTGCGGGCCTGAGACTCTGGCCATCTGTGTCCGGGGCCAGTGTGTCAAGGCTGGCTGTGACCACGTGGTGGACTCACCAAAGAAGCTGGACCGATGTGGAGTATGTGGGGGAACAGGCAGCACGTGCAGGAAGATCTCTGGTTTCTTCACACCCACAAGGTGAGGATTTCCAGTCCTGAGCACTCCTGAAAAAGAGCATAAGGGGCTTTGGACTGTGATGGACCCAAATTTGATCTGCTGGATACGTTATTTAAATATTCTGCGCTTCCATTTCTCGAGAGTCCTGTCTATCTTAGAGTCACTGTAAGGGTTTCAGAGATGGGATGTGTGGAGCACTTGGCACAGGGCCTGGCCGCAGGAAGGACAGCAGCCAGGCCGGCTGTTGTTTTATCAGCAAGCAGGCCACGTGCATGGGGATGTGTCAGCTCTGAGTCAATGGGCAGGAGAGCTACACTGAGCAGCCCAGGCCTTTGCCAGAAAACAGCTCCTTCAGGCCTGTTATGGGAAGGACAGCTCTCCTCAAGTCTGGAGAGCCCTGGCCTGGCTGCAGATGGGTGTTGGGGTATGAGGGAGTGGCCTCAGCAGCTTGTGAAACTGAGAGCACTTCGCTCACATTCTACTGCCTGCATTCATGTAGCACCTCGTGTTTTCCAGTGTTTTCACTTCCACGGTCTCATTTGATTTCTAAAATAAGTGTATGAGGTGAACACAGCCAACAGTATTATGCCCTGAGTTACAGAGGACAAAACTAATGCACAAAAGATTGTAACTCTTCTAAGAGCACACCAATACTTGACTGCAAAAAGAGAACCTAGGTTTCTTAAGTCCTGGGTGATTGTTTATTGTTCTGTTTTGTTTCTACCATTCCATGAACTTCCTGGAGAATACAGGCAAGGTTAGCCCTTTTGTATGGGCCACACTCTGTCAAACTGGCACGTGGTACATATATCTGTGTTTCCGGCAGCTACATGAGCACCCTGGCCTCTTCCCAACTACTTACATCAAAGTTCATCCAAGTTTGTGAAGAATATATATATGTTTGTGTGTGTGGATATATATGTATATATATGTATGTATAATGTTGTGTGTTATATATGTATATATTATATATAAGTGTTATATAGGTATATATGTGTATCTCATATCTCACCAGTCTCGAAGAACAGAACCAGCCTATAGCAGACAACTTAGAAGTCTTTTTAAATTTAAGTTTAAGCATATGGAAAGAAAAAGAATGAGCAATTCAGATCCTAGGTCATGTAATTACCTTCTCTTAGACAGTAGGCATATGGGCCTTGAATACTGTCATAGCCCTAGACCAAGCAACTACCCCCACTGGCAAACAGGGAGAATAGCAAAGAACTGGACTGACTGTCCTCCTCAACACTGCTCACCTTCTCCCCAGCCTACAGTATTAAGCTCTGTCCATCCTACATAAAGCCCTATGCCTACAAAGGACCTGAAAAACCTTTCCCCCAATAGCAGTGGACCACTGGAGAACCGGGGTGCTCATGGGGTCTGGGCACACACAGAAGCTGGTTCCAAAGAAGCAGGCTTTATCTCCTTAGCTCACACCCTGAGTCTACACTAACCAAACACTGATGCTGACTGGCTCAGAGGTGGGATGAGACTTCTGACCTATTTGAGTCCTGGACTGGGTGAGCCATCAGATTTTTCCATGTGGATTTGAGCCCCAGGTATGGAGGAAGGCAAGTGTAGTTTTATAAGAGTGTAAAGAAGTCAGTGTATTTGGATCTCATTTGAGCCATGAGATGCTAGGTCTGGCTGTACCAGTGCAGCTTTTCCAACCTTCTAGGTTTTCCTCTCTATAACTGTTGTCAAGATTCACTCATCTCAACTCCTCAACCCAAACATTTGCAGTAGAGTTGCCAGACGAAGCAAAAACCCTTGAAAATCCCAGTGTACAAGACACTCCTGTCTACCCCAGAAGCTGATTTATTTAGACCGTAGGGCAATTACTTCATTGTTTGCTAGTTGTTTTTCCCTGCCCATCCCAAGCACACTTCAGTCTCCTTCAGGACCCAGGCTGGGTAGCCACCCATCCTAACAGTGTCTTTCTGTCGCTGTCATAGATACGGCTACAATGACATTATCACCATCCCAGCTGGTGCCACAAACATTGATGTGAAACAACGGAGCCACCCAGGGATTCAGAACGATGGCACCTACCTGGCTCTGAAGACTGCCAATGGGCAGTACCTGCTCAATGGCAACCTGGCCATCTCTGCCACAGAGCAGGACATCCTAGTGAATGGCACCATCCTAAAGTACAGTGGCTCCATGTCCTCCCTGGAGCGGATACAGAGCTTCCGGCCCCTGTCAGAGGCTCTGACAGTACAGCTCTTGACTATTCCTAGTGAGCTTCCCTCCCCCAAAGTCAAATATACCTTCTTTGTTCCAAATGACATGGACTTCAGCATACAGAGCAGCAAAGAGAGAACAACCCCTAATGTCATCCAGCCACTGTTCCTCACGCAGTGAGTGCTGGGGGAATGGGCTGAGTGCTCCAGCACTCAGCTGACAACAGTGGACAGTGGAAAGCAGAGACCCCTTAGGCCAGGCTTCTGTCACCTGTAACAAGGCTCTGCAACCTGAGCATCCCAAGCCCCGTGGAAGGCAGCTGTGTCCTCTGTGATCTCACGGAGGGAAGGGTCTTGTGCTCATGGACTTGAGGTACTGGGGTATAGACATGGTCCCCTTTTGGTAACCCATATATCAAAGTAGCATGACCTGCCCAGGCCTCCTATTGCCACAGCCCCTTGGGTGCTGCCTAATTCATAAGAGGAGGAGAAGTGGGGATGGGACAGCAGATTGAAATTTGACTGCCTAACAGACTGGCCCTTGCTCGGGTTCAAGTAGAAGGTGTAGGCTGGGCGAGGGATTTAGCTCAATGGTGCCCCTGCCTGCCTCACAAGCATAAGGTCCTGAGTTCGATCCCCGGTACCAAAAAAAAAAAGAAGAAGAAGAAGGAGAAGAAGTTGTAGGCTAAAAGGTAAAAATGCACTTATTGACCCAAATGGGAGACTCAGAGCCAGCCTGTTTGCAAAGGATTCACAAGGCTCAATGAAAGAAATTATTTTCTATTTGGTTTCCCTGATAAATGATCTACCTCAGAGGGAAAAAAATTAGTTCAAGAGAGGAGTGGGGCAGGGAGTCAATGGTGAATGTCAAAGCAAGCCCCACAGCTGCACCCCAAGGGGTCTTTGGCAATGGCCACAACTCTCTTCAGTGTTAAAATCCATCACTTAAAGGGCTGCAGTATCCGTCACAGGGTTATGGAGAGCCACCTGCTGGGGTGGACCCATTTCAAGTATTTATGCAAATGTGTCTCTGAACTAAAGTGTGATCTTGTGCCAATGAAGTGGTCTGGTCTGGTTCATTGTTTCTTTGAAAAGGACAGGGGACCTAGAGCCCAAAGATGAAGGCTAAAGCTAGGTCGGCTCACCTTGTGCACACACAGGGTGGCTGATGTCCTCCTGCATGGGTCTCTTCAGACCTTCAGTAAGAAAGTGACTATTGGGCTGAGGATTTAGCTCAGTGGTTCCGCTGCCTGCCTTGCAAGCGCAAGGTCCTGAGTTTGATCCCCAGTACAAAAAAAAGAAAGTAACTACTTTGGTTCCAATGAGCCCAGTAAGCCCAGCTCACCTTAGCAACTAGTCATGGCATGATCTAGTCCAGTGGTTCTCAAGATGCAGTGGACATCAGGGCCACTCAGAGGGTTCAGACAGATCGCTGTGCCCCACCCCCAGTGAATCAGAGGATAGCCTGAAAGTCTGTTTCTAAAAAGCTCCCAGCTGATGTGCTGTGATCAGTTTGAGGACCACACTTTCTCCCTATTCTAGAGAAAATTTCAAATCAGAGGTCATGGTGGCTATATGGTGCCTCTTGTTATTCTTGAGAAGAAGAATTCCCCATCCACTCTGGAAGCTGCCCCATCTTCTTACAGGTTGACTTGTCTTGTTTTACTTAAACCAAAGACACAAAATCCTCTTAGGATCTCAGAAGTTCTAATGCTATATCTAGGTAACATCATCCAGTGACTGCCATGTCTGCTCTCCACCTTAACCACACCAAATTTCATCCCCATCTCACAACTCTTTTGGCCCAAGCAACTTCCAACTTTCCCCATAAGCCCTTTTGCTCAGAATGGTACCCCAGCTGGGCATCTGAAATCCATCTGGAAGCCTCAAAATCCCCACCCTTGCCCCATAAATCCTTATCTCTTCTGGCTCAGTCTTCCCTATAGGGACATAGTCCTTGGTCATGAATGAGTGAGGAGAAATGGACATCAAAAAATGACCTTCTAGGAAAAGAAAGAAAAGACCTAAATTTGCATCTTCCTTTTTTCACCACCATTGACCTCTTTGTCCTCCCTTTCTGGTTCCTCTTAAGATATGTGGCCATGGACAAAGAAGATGCTAGGTGGAGCCCCAGTGTAAATGAGGACTCAGATTCCTGTGGCACAAAGCAAGACCAATGAGATTTCTGCCCCTGCTGTTCCCTTTAGCTGGTCTCTGTCTGGTGGCAGCTGACATAGAGTTGACCTCTTTTCCCTGTCTCCCTAGTCTTTTTACTGAGTAGGAGGCCAGGATAACATAAATAAGCACACATACACACACAGGCTTGTTGTTGATGACTAGTAAAAGGTATTTCCTCACTGTGCATCAGTTTGAGGGAAACTGATGAATATTTCTATGAGTGTTCGTCTCATTCCATTTCTCATCCCCCCCAAATGTGTCCCCCATCAACTGCCCGTGTCAGGCCATCTGTGCCATCCCTACTGCTTGCATCATTACCAGGCACAGCTTTTGCCCTGGAGTTCAGCTGGCAGCAGACTTGCTGATGTGCAAAGCAGAATGGAATCCAGCTTGGCTCTCCCATGCTGTGTGGGTTCAGCAAGGCTCACAGAATACATACTTGTTTGTGTCTGGAAATTCAACAGCTGCAGCTCTGGGAGTCAGAAAACAGGGCTGCATCAGGAGGCCACACCACTGTTTGCCCCAGCCAACCACAACTACCCTTTTAGACTAGAGGACGAAAGACTGTATCTCCTCTGCTGAGAGTTTATGTTTTCCAGCTATTGCTCCTGATAGAGACTGTTATCGGTGCTTTCTCATTGGAGTCCATAAAGCCTAGACTCAGCAGATAACCTGATCATTAATCTGGATCCTCCAAGCTGCTGCCAGAAATATTTTAAAGGTGCTACATTAGCATCAAGGTTCATTTCCAACTTTTCATCCTTAAGACAAGAGAATCTGTCTGAGGCTTGTTTTCCGCCCCTTACATTCCCCTATAGCTGACCAGAGGATTTTACAAATTGGAGGAGGGAAATCACCAAGTGAAGAGAAGCACATCTCCGCCCATCAACCCCCACCCCTAGCTCTACCATTGCTGAGCCTGTCAGCAACCCTGGGGCCCTGAGCACACACTGTCCAGGGTGCTAGGCCAGAAAGCAGAGGGAGTAGAGGCAGTGCTCCTCTTCTAGAGAAATGTAAACAGGAGGGCCTTGCTGTCCTTTGGTGGCTGTGGCTGGAGAACAATGTGCCTGTATGTGGAGAGTACTCCTTTGGCACAGTGCATTTTCCCCTCAGTGGTCCCCCTGGCTGAGCTTGCAATTCTGGGAAAGCTGCATGGCACAGGAAAGAGAAAGAAGCCACCCACTGAAGCTGACATTTTTTGCAGGCTCAAGGTTGGTAATCATTACAGTAACAAATACAGTGGTCATATTTTCTTTATACAGCAAAATATTCCAGGGGGCTCATTGGTAGAGCACATGCCTAGCATAAGCGAGTACTTGGGTTCAGACCCTAGCACCATAAAAGAAAGGAGGAGGAGGAGGAGGAGGAGGAGGAGGAGGAAGGGGGAAGGAAGAATACTAAGCAGTAATATTCTAAAAACAATATTCTAAACAATACAAGATAACACACTGTGGGGAACTAAAGTTGAGAGCAAAGTGAGCGAGCTTGTAGAGTTAGGACTTCATGCTTTCTTCATACCATGCCGGCCCCTTCCAAGCGCACGTCCTCTTTCTAAATCAACATTTTTGGAATGGCCTGGCCAGGTTTATCAAAATAGATGTTCTCTTTTACAACCAGTGCCACATCTTTGGTTTGTTCCTCTTGAGATGGGGAGATTCTCTGATACCCACTTAGGAAGTAGTTGGCCCAGCTTGAAACAGGGCACTGGCCAACTCACATCTCTCCCACAAATAAAAGGGCTCCTTCCAGACACTGCTAATCTATTGGGAAGACAGATGACTCTCAATGTACAAGTACATTCTGAATTGCACTGCAAAAGCAGCGAGGGAGAAAGTCACCTGTCTCTTTGGGAACATATTTTCCCTCAGGCCTTGGGCTCAGTAAGGGGAGACAGCAGAGTTCTGGCTCCCCTTGAGCTACCCAGTGCACCCCTGGCCAATGCACAATTGCCCCAGGAGAAACCAAAGAAGCCTTCCCCAGACATCACCGTTCCTCATTCCAAACATCTCGTAAGTCCCAAGGGCACTGAAAGAGTTTGTCCTCGGCCAAACACAACTTCCTGCTTCTAAGAAAGGGAGAAAAAAGTAGCTGAAAGCATTTTTGGACACTGGAGATTTTGAGTTTCTGTAAACGCAAGTGAATCAGACACATGTGGAATAAATTTCTCCAGAAGTGAGAAAAGATGCTGCGAGTTGTTCTTGCTGGACCAGAAAGTGGGGAAAGGAGATCTGGGAACAGAGGTGCATCGGTTGCGGAAAGGAGAGAGAAAAGCCATGTAAATGTGGGATCAAAGTGGGGGGTCCTGGTGATGACAAGGGTCGAGGCCCCTCCCTCAACCACTTCCTGACTCACTGATTATTCAGAAGTTCCCCATCTCTGAAGTCATAAACTCAAATATCCTGCTCCCCGACAACAACTCCCCATCCTTCCAGATCTTCTGCTAGCTCCCACTAGTCATCCTTCATCATCGGCCCCCAGGTCTTGACCACCCTTGTGGTTATTCTTTCCCCATCTGCCTTTACTGCTGCTCTGTTTCTACTTCTGTCCCTGCCCTGCTTACACTCCATATTCCAGGCCCTCACCCCGAGTCTGCCAGTATTTCCAATGTCCTTGCCCAGCAGCTTTCATCCCAGCCCCCACCCCACCCATGTCATCTGGTCAATCCTCACCCTAAAGCTGCCGACTTCCCTTACCTGAGTGTACATTGTTCCAACATGTCAGAGGCTCCTCACCTGTGGTAGTCACACCATGAACCACAGGTGTGTCACTGTGAAGTTACAGCATCCAATGAAAACCCTGTCCGGTGACCCAAGCCGGCAGCTCTGTCTCTAACTCTCCGTGGAAATGACTTTCCACTTTCTCCATTTCCCTCAAGTTCATGATGCTGCACATTTCATTCTGAGTAGATGATATCACCTCTGCTACTCAGTGGAACACAACAGTGACTCTCTTACCATAGAAGTCAGAGGGGACAGTCTCTGTTAATAGATCAAGTGCTAATGCAAATCTATAAGCACATTATCATTCTTATTTTGGGCTCAAGGTGCATATTCTAATCTCTTCTAAGATCCAAAAGATAACTCATCTATATTATTACACCTGTCCCACAGACCCTCTGAAGGGCACGGCACATCAGGGCTCAACACACGGGCCTCCACAGCCCGGCTTCTCCCTTCACTATCCTTGCTGGCTGCTCTGCTCTCCAGCACTTGCTCTGCATATGGGCTTAGTGCCACCGTGTTTTGCCAGCCACTAGGTGTTGTCTCATTTCACAGCTAGATAGAGGCTGCTCTTCAGTTCCCAGAGGTGAAGGAGTGAGGGGAAGAGCCTCCCACAGAGACCGGAGCAAGGCCCACCTGTCCTGATGACAACAGACTGCACAGTGCCAACTCAGCCTCCTGCTAGCCTCTCCCTGGCACTCTGTGAAGCCGAAAGGGTGTCTCCTTCTTCTCCATTTGGGTGGTGTGTATTTCCAAAGGCCCCCTTCTGTTTTCCTAGCCTACAAATATGCCAGGTCTCAGAAATCAGGAGGGTGAGGAAAAAGAAAAACACATTCCCCGTGAGAAAACAAAACTCTTCATATAAAAACACTACATTTTTTTACCACCAGTTCTAAAGTCTTACCTGTGGCTGTATCCAACCTTTAAAGGTCTTTCCTTTCCCCTTTCTTTCTGTTACATGGAGGAGTATTTTCCTACAGTCAAAAGTGTTCCCTTTCAGGCCACAGTGCCCCACCCCCTCCAGGTCCTCAGCCCACGGGCATCCCTCCCTCTGCCTCTCTGCAGACTCCTCCCAGCTGTGTGTGCAGATGCTTTAGATTTTCCTCCCACCGTTTTGCAGTCACCTCTTCCCACTCCCTCACACTCCTCCAAAGTACAC